ATTGTTAGGGAGCAGAGCTCCATGTGTGGATTGTGGTGATGATATAAGATAGGAAGACGAAAGGCCTTGGAGAAATGGGACAACGAGGATGAGAATGAGAATTATAAACTTGAGGCATTACTAAGAGTAGAGCCTGAACATCAGATGAACAGAGCTTGCTGGAGTTATGATCCAAGGAGCGGAATTTTATAATGCAGCCAGTATTTAAAATGAGCTTAAGTTTCTCAAGGGTGGAAGGAATATTGGCGAAGAGACTATTCATGGAAAATCAAAATACCGTATTTTTGTATTTTCACCACAAAAGTGCTAGAGCAAAATCAGTACATCTGGCTGGCAGCATCACGAGGGAGAGAAAGACAGAGCGAGACAGAGAGCAGGCGAGAGAGACAGCAAGACCGAGAGATGTGTCAAATCTGATTACTTTTGGTCGGAACAGATAATTAGAAGAGATAACAATTGCGTGGATGTATGGTTCAGCAGTTAATGAGCCGAGACAGTGGTGGTTAGGCAATTAGACAACTTAGGAATGATGGTGAACCTATACAGAATAGCTCAAACATAAAATAAACTTAGAAATCCATAACAGTGAAGTAGTCAGAGACTCCTGCCACAAGCTTTTGCAAAGAGGTCTCAGGATAAACGGATGCCCTTCCAAGGTGCTGAGCACCATATTAATAGTGGGTGCAGCAGCTCCTTCACTGTAACCATCTATCCTTTACCTCAACTGCATCTCAATGCTTCGGCCCAGAATACAGCATGGACCAAAACAATAAAGCAGACAGTGCTGGAGCAACTTAGCAGCTATGATAGCATCTGTGGAGAGAGAAACAGAGTTAATGCTTCAAGTTTGATGACCCTTGCTCAGATTTGGACTCAATGTTAACTGTTTACTACTCCACAGATACTACTATATGTACTTCTACAGTACGTATACTTCTTTTATTTCTACAGCACTTGGTTCTCATTTCAGATCTCCAGCATCTGCAGTATTTTGCTTTAAACGGATCAAAAGAAGGCCAAAGAAATTGAAAAGTTGGAAGACTGCATCAACAGTCACAACTAAAACCTTATGTAACTGTGACAAAGGTAAACCTCTCACTGTCCTTCTCCATCTGTCTGCAGGTGATAGCACTGCTGACCCACAACATTCTCCTATAAATGTCTCTCCATTGTTGTCCAGTTGTGTAGTGGGATTATTTGCAATGGCTGTTCTTCCTGGTCCTATATTTTCCTTCAAGAATAAAGCCTTTAGAGCACCCGTTAAAACCTACTGCTTTGATCAAGCTTTTGAACATCAGTCCTGAAATCTCCTAATGTATTTTAGCGATGTACTTTTAGTGATGTGTTTTGTAGCACTGCTGTTAAATATACAAGCTGTTGAAGATCGGGACTTGAAATTTCCAATAAATAATTAAGCCTAGTCTAATAGGATGTTGCTTTTCCAGAATCGTTTTAAAGTTATGGTTAAACAAGCAATCTTTTTGCAGAAGACATTACTAGATTTTGAAAATAGTCCTAAAATAAGTTAAATTAACAGCAGTTGAAGATTTTTAAAGTTACATTCAGTACACTTTGAACCTTTTGATGTGTCCCCTTGCAAAAGATACAATCGGACTAAAGATGGATTTGCTAAAAAAGATTGCTTAATAAAAGAAACCTGTCTTTATTGATCTAATAAATCAAGTACTTAAGAAATTCTAACAAGTGTAATGTCTACTTGGCAGAATAGGTACTGAACAATTGCATTTAAAACAAGTGAGTCAGTAGATGGTAGATTACAACATTCTAGCTATCAGATTTACGCATTTACCAACATAAATTACAGCTCTATGTTTATGCAAGATTTGATAAAAATGACTGCCCCAGTGTTAATTTCAATACTTGCTGCTGGCAACAGCACATTTTGTTTACATGTCAGATACTATATTAGTTGTTTATGAACCTTGAGCTATTTCTCAGCCTTATGAAAAAGTAATTCACTTCCATGATTATACCTTCCATTCATAACATTTTGTCTTTCCAAATAGAAAACAAAAGTAGTTTTATTCAAAAAGAAGAACAATTCTGTTTCAGTGACCAGATACATTTAAATAGAAGCACCTTATAGACATTCAGCTGACCAGAAAATTTAAGTATCCTAATTGTAGTAATGGGTGCAAGTGCAGCATCAATGCAAGACAGCTTTCCGTTTGCATCAATACTATCAAACACTGTAAAAACGCCACAGAGTCAGAGTCAAACATCATTCTGAAGCAAAATAACAATGAGAATCTTCAAAGACTATACTTCATGAAGCATAGGAGCACTTCACAGTACAGAGGAAAGTGTTTTGCCAATCATGTTTGAAAAAGCTACTCAGTTAGTCTGACTGCCATTTATTAATCTTGGAGCCCTGAATTTAGGACTTTTTAAACTGTCCTAATTTAATATAAAAATGTGTAACAATCAGGGATTCTCAACTCCACTCTAAACATTTGTATTTCTTAGTATTTTTGAAAAATAGTAAATGAAATGATCAACCTTTCCAGGCCAATATAATGAACTGGGCTGTCTGGTCATCTTTTTATATCATAGACACGTCATACTTGTGCTTAACACAGGAAAATTGAAATAAGTCTATAGTAGATACAGGGAGCTTCCAAATATAGCACAAAATAATACATTAGAGTCAAATCATTTAAAAACAATGAAGGAAGGAATGGCAAATGCATTTTACTGCTTACATCATGTAACCATTCTTATACAGCAGCTTTTTTTAAAAAAAAGATCACTCATGGGACATGGATGTCACTGGCTGGTCACCATTTATTGCTCATCCCTAGTTGCTCTTGAGAAGGTTGCGGTGAGCTGCCTTATTTAACCTCTGCAGTCCACGTCCAAGCATACAATTGTGTAATAATAAAATAAAATCTACTGCATTCAACCAATGACTTAGTAGATGGAAACACTACATAAAGTGGAATGTTTTTATTACATTGAATACTCAATTATAAATGAAATTATAAATGCACATCCATCAAAACAATATATACAAATAAAATGAGGAATGTTTTCTACATGCAGTAGAAATATAAGACAGGCAGTGTTCATTTCTACCTTACTTGAGCATCTTACCTGTCTAATGTAGCAAACAGTCCAGTTTTTCCACCAACAGCACACAGTACTTTGGGAGCACAACGTGGCCGTGTTGATAACTCAGTATGATGAGAAAATCTGTGCTCTGGCATAAAATGATACTTAAGTGCTTCATTTAGAAGGTGCTTGCAGGTATGCTCATCACGAATTAACTGGTTTGCTTCATATAATCTTGTTAAAAACTTCACACTTAGCAATGGCAATCGCACACAGTGCAATAGCTGTGCCAGATATTTTTGTCTTTCTTGTACATCATATTTAATCCACGCCTCCAAAGCATAAAAAACAGACTCTTCAGTCACAACATTCAGACAGTCATTTGAAATTATTTCATCTAGTTCAGTGTGATTCAGTTCAAAGAACTCCTCTGTCTGACATACCTCTTCAAAATTCTGACAAATGTACTTGTTGGCAGCAAGGTACAAGTCATGGCAACCATAAGTTTCAGCAAATCGGGAAATGCCAATGCAATTACCAGGATCAAGCTGGCTTTCAAGGAATGTACAACATTCCTTCAATACTAGCTTAATTTGAAGTAAATTTGCAGCTGGTAGTAAAGATTCCACTGTATCTTGTGAAATGAATATGGTTCCTGTATATGCATATTCTACAATGGCCTGCAAAGCAGTTTCATCAATACACTGGAACTCAACCTCAGAATTTTCATTTTCTGAAAGATTCCCAGTAAACATGGCTTTGAAGTATGGACTGATGCTTGCCAGCACCACCTTATGGGCATGGATCTTGACATCACCAACCCTGAGGATGATGTCACAGAGTTCACGATGCTGCCGAAGAAGATTCAATCCTTGCAGTAACTGCTCAGAATGTGGATGAGTCAGATTAGCAAGCATGTAGGATTGAGGAGACGGGTCCATCTGAAGAAAGAGAATAAAAGATAAATTGTCAGTACAAAATATCCATTGTAACTGAAAAAAAAAGTTTACCATAAACAAACTCAAGAAAATAAATTTCAATTTTTTTCTTTAAATAAAAAAATGCTTTAAAAAGTCTACAACATTTCTCAAAAGAAAAGAAAATAAACTTCTGAACCAATTATAATCCAAGATACAACAGTAGTTACTAAATGTCTTGCTGTGAGTAACAATCATAATTTAAAACCATGAAATATTAATTCCAGATGCAGTTACTAAGGGCTTACCATATGATAAACAGTTCCTTACCAATGGACAAGTCACAAAAAAATTTAGAATATTTTACAAAAAGTGCATTCGAATGACAGCACGGAAAGTACAAATACAGGAATAATATTTTCATATCTGATCTTTATCCTAGTTGAAGATGGACATTTGACACAGCATCCTCAATGATTCATTAATCACTAGCAACATTATACAATTCAGTAACTATTAAAATGTGAAAGAAGTCCACTTGATGGCACTTTGTCTATCACCTTGAATACTTTTCACGACTGTGCACTTGTGGTTGCAGCTGGGTGACATGGTGCGTGAAGTACCAAAGTTTAGCACACAAACAATGAAGAAAGTTTATAGAATGCCATTTCTTTTTGTGAGGTGAACTGTATACAAAAGTAGGGAGGTTATGCTTCAGTTCTGCAGACCACTGGGCAGACCACATATGGAGTACTTTGTACAGGTCTTTTTAGTGAAGAAAGGATATAAATGTATTGGAAGCAGTTTAGAGAAGATTTACTGAACTAATAGCTGGATTAGATAGGTTGACTTAGGATGAATGTTTGGACAATATAATCTTGTACCTTCTGGAGTTTAGAAGAGTAAGATGAGACTTGATCGACACATGCAAGATCCTAAATGTTTCCCATTGTGGGAGAAGTAGAACTGAGAGGGCTCTTGTGGTGCAGTGGTAGTGTTCCTACATTTGAGCCAGAAGGACCAGGTTCAAGTCCCACCTGCATCAAACAATGTCATAATACAACCGAACAAGTTAATTTAAAAATATAGAGAAGTAGAATTAAGGGTCATTAAGACTGTATCTCTGTCTTAAATGGCTACAGAGAAATTTATTCTCATAACAGAATTGAGTGTGTTTATAACTCACTTCATCAAAAGACAGTTGAAGAGGAGTTTTTGAATATTTTTAAGGTAATGGCAGATAGATTCTTGATAAACAAAGGGGTGAAAGGTTATCAGTGTAGGCAGGAATATGGAGTAATTAGATCAACCATGCTTTTACTGAATGACATAGCAGGCTCATATGCACTGCAAAATCTCAGCAAGCTTTCTTCAATGGCAACTTCTAAAATAATAAAATCTACCATCTAGAAGGTCAAAGGCAGCGTTAGAGGTGATGGTGATAGTAGCAATGTCACTGGACGAGTAGTAATTCAGAGGCCTAAGCCAATTATGTGGGAACAAGATTCAAATTACACATCAGCTGGTGGAATTTGGATTCAGTTATTAATTTGGAATTGAAAGCTCATCTCAGTTTCATGATTACTGTTACCATCATCGAATGTTGCAAATAACCCTCAGGAAATCTGCCAACCTTATCTGGTCTGGCCTATTTCTGACTCCAGGTCAACAGCAATGTGGTTAAATGTCCTCTGAAACGGCCTTGCATGCCACTAAGTTCAAGAGTAATTTGGATGAGCAATAAATGCCCACCCTACCAGCGATGTCCACATCCCATGAAAGAAGTTCACTTTCATGTCACACACCATCCTGACTTAGAAATGAATCATCCTATCTTCACTCTGAGTAAATCCCCGAAACTACCTAATAGCACTTTTGCTACACATACTGTAGCAGTTCAAGACAGCAACTTACCACCATTTTACCCAAGGGAATTATTGATTAGCATTAAATTCTGGCCTCACCTGTGGTAGCCATATCCCATGAATTAATGACAATAGGTACAAGCAATGCTTGCATCATTTTGAGAATTTTAGCTGGTGGGATTCATGAAATAATTGGCTAATTGTCCAATGAATGGCTTCCAATAAATCTCTAGCACTAGTCTGTTCAACTTGTTTTCCCTTACTTTAAATTCCAAAAAAAAGCTAATTATAGATCGACCGCGACTTAAAATCACTTTAAAGGAAACCAAGCAACACGTGGAAGATTAACTCAAGTAATACGTTCAACTTCAAATACTTCCTTCTACTTTATATTAATTGTATCCAAAATGATGAAGCTATAAAATTTAACCCGCAGGGAGTTCTTGCAACATAGTGGTGTGCCCCGAGTTCAAGTCCCACCTGCTCCATAGGCGTGTTATAACATCTCTGAACAAGTTGATCAGAAAATAAAAAAGAAAGCAACCTGAAAAAAAAAGGACTAAAACAGAGCTTTGTAAACTCTTTAATCTCAAGCAAATACACCACAAATCTCTGAAAATCTTTCCCAAGCAATGAGAAATATTCAACTTTAAATCTCAGACATTGACACACAATGGGAGGGGATATGTTCATGAACTTCATGAAATTTAAAATACATATATTTTAGAGAAAGGCTCAGATAAATCATTTCTTAAGTTTTTTTTTGGAATATGGATATTGCAGCATTTCTTACTTATCTCAATGTTTCCCCAGGGAGACAGGAAGTGGAGTGCTTTCTTAAATTACTGCAGTCCATTGGATAAGGTGAGGCTATTAGGTAGGAAGATCCAGTGACAATTAAGAAACAGCAAAATTTGGACAGCCTGTTCTCAGAAGAAAACTTGGGAGGTGTGGAAACACTTCAAAAAGTGTTCCTATAAATTAGCTGCATGTTCTTCTAGCATATGAAAGTTCTGGATTGAAAGATATTGATGAAGAAGCTTTTGACTTGCTGCAGTGCATCTGTAGATAGTATACACTACAGCCAAGCTACACTGGTGGTAGAGATTTACGTTTGTGACTGAGGATACTGAGCAAACATAGTGCTTTGTTCCAGGCGGTGCTGAACTTCTTCAGGCTTGATGCAGCTGCAAGGCCAATGGGTTACGTTCACTCCTGGAGTGTGAAACCAACAAAGGTAAATGGAATCAAGGATTCCATTACAAGTTTCTACCATTGTAGGTTTCAATCTAGTGTCTATTGTCGCTTGTACAGTAAAACTAGAATGTGATCTCATTCAAAGGACATAAGAACAGTTAGTATGGGAGATTGAAGTGTTTCTCTGGATGCTGCAGGTGTCATCTACATTTGACATGTATACACTTATGTAGAATTGAGTAAAGCATGAGTTGCTGTGAATGTCAAAATTTTTTTTGTTAAACGTGAATGATTAACTCTGACAGAATTCCAGCAGTCTGATTGTGCAATCATTGAGTTGGAAATAAGAAATACTAACAATACAGTTCAAAAGAAAGCTCTTGCAATATTCAATGCTTAACATCTCTCACTGTAATAAGCATAAAATAATGAGACAGGAATAAAATTGCACATATGGAATGACTGAATTTCTTTTTCATTAAAGTAACATTCATTAAATAATTGGTCAGTTTCTTTGTCAAAGAATTAGCTACACTTAATCTACTGCAATGCAACAGATCAATAGTAAAATAATGAACAGCAGATCCCCATCAAGCTCAACTTTCCCAAACATAAATCCAAAATGCACCGTATTAAATCTAGCCACGTAAAAGCAAAGACAGGTATATAAGCATCAAGAAAAGGCAGATAATTCTTCTTTTCTTTCCTGAATTGAGCCTACTCAGAGGCAATGTTCACTTTTTTCTTGTGTGAACTGCAAATTAATTCCATTTCCTTGCACACTTAAATTTCTTTTCCAATAAATAACCTTTCCAAAATCATATTTCACTTCAATACAGATACTTGATATCACAACAGTAGTGAGTAACCAAAGGTGTCAAACTTGGGCGACTTGACAACTGTTCTCAAAATTTGGTATTGTTCTTCATCTATTACAGCACAAAAACATAAGCGTTGGCTAATGGATTTCCACAAAGGAAGCATGAGGCACAACTTCCTGAATTGTCAGAAACAGTTCCACAGACAATATACACACCCAGCTTCCTTGCTTTTGTGTACATTTTAAAGGCAAACATGAAAGCAAAGACTTAGGTAATCCAGAGACCGAGGTAATGTTCTGGGGACCAGAGTTCAAATACTGCCACAGCAGATGGTAGAATTTGAATTTGATTAAGGTTCTAATAATGATCATGAATCCATTGCCAATTGTCAGGAAAAAAACATCTGGATCACTGATGTCCTTTAGAGAAGGAAACTGCCATCCTTACATGCTCTGGCCTACATGTCACTCCACACCCACACCAACTTGATTGACTCCTAGTTACCTGCTGCACAATTAGGAGTAGGCAATAAATGCTGGCCGAGTCAGCAACACTCTCATCCTGTGAATGAATAAAAAAAAACACAAGCACCCTCTTGAATGTCATCATAAAATGGCTCCCACTGCAATCTACAGCTCAACTTTGTGTTGTAGAACTCAAAATACTTTCCTATGCAGGTTCAAAATGGTAAAAAAAAAATGAACGTCATGCATATGGACTTCAACCTGCATTCTTTGTACTGGCGTTAGTTTTTAAATAAGAATAATCCTTTACAAATAAAACCAGGAACTGTAAAGAAAAATGACAAACTTTCAGTTATTGTTTTGCGTGGTATAGAGGTTTGGAAAGCATGAACCTATTACAGCCACTGTGGTACAATCCACATTTTGACATCTACCATTAGAATCCTTAAAAGTAAAATGCATGTGATTTTATTTTTAAATATGAAAAGCTCTTTGTGTTACAGTACTTTGTTTTTGTCATACAACAAACTTACCATTGTAATGAAAGTGAGCTGCAGTATTTAACATTCAAGATGAGCATTTGAATCATTCAGGTAAATACAATGGAGTTGTCATTGATGATCGTCCGTTTCCTCCAAAGCTGTTTGCCTTCCTAAAGATTATTGACTTCTGATTACAACATAATGCAAAGCAGATTCTGTTACTTGAAGCTTTTTTATGGCTGTCTTTTCACAATGGTTGCTCATTTGAAAATCTAGTGTGAAAAGTTTGAATGAACGCTCCAGATCCTGTTTAACAGCAGCTGCAAACTAGATTGTCGATACATTGGGCTTTAGGCTATGAATCCAAATTAAATCAATCCAATTAATGTATATATGTGCGTTAGATAAGACTTTTATGCTTTATCAAATGAAATATGGATAATATTTGAAAATTATTTTGAAAGATAAATATCCTTAAAAAAAGGTAAACAAAAAGTTCGTACTTTTTAATATGTATAATTCGCTTTGCGCCGTGGCTTCATTCGTACTTCTAAATATAAACTCAAACAATAAACAAGAGGCAACTCACGTATACACACCTAATTTCACAATCAAATGTTTTAACTATCAATAGTCAAACCTGTCACTTGAGTTATCCATAAGATTAAGGGTTTGGGCCTGTTACAGGAATAGCTCTAACACAGTAGTAACTGTACTTAATTTTAAACTAAATCAATATATGCATAATATAAAATAATATATAGACAAACTTACCTGATATAATTACGATAATAATCAACGAAGCAGAAGATGAGCTGAGAAATTTCCCAAAACCTATCAAACACAAATACAAAACAGGTGGGGGAGTGCGTAACTTCCGGTTATGATTACAATATCTTAGAATCAGCATCCAAACAATATCTGATTGGAAAACAATAAAAAAATCTTAAATATTTAAAATTACAACATCCTCACTGTTGTCCATGTTTATGATCTATTTCTTTATAATTATTGCCAAACATCGAACACCAACTAACTTTGGGATTTGTAGTTTACCCCGCCGCCGCATCCAGTTATCAACGGCATTATTTTAAACTACAATTCCCACCGTGCTTCAAGGCAGCTGAGCCGTCGAGCGAGGAAGCGTAATTAACATCCGGGTTGGAGGTTTGATCTGTCCTCACCATGGAAGCGTTCGGTCGCGAAGGGAGTTAGTTTTGCTCACGTGACTTGGCTTGCCTAGATACGGCCATTTTGTTGGGAGTTTTTTTCAAACCCTGGACTGTGAGAAGACAGACACAGCGCGAGCGGTCAGGCGGTATTACGCCTCGCTGCATTTGTGTGTGTGCGTGCGCGTTTGCGGGGTGGGACGGTTTGTTATGAGGGAAGCACAGTGAGGTGGTGCGGTGCTGCCAGTACCGGCGGCCAGAGGTGAACGCTGTGATTATTGTAAATAAAAGGGTAAATGTCATGTAGGCGATTGAATGACGTCAGAGAGGAAGGGATGAAGCCCTGGAGACGGCGGCGTTTACAGTCGCTCAAGGCGCTCGGCCGGCCGCCGCTTCCCGGCAGCTTTGATGGCAGGTTCGGTTGCCAAGTTGGTGCGGCCGGCGTTTGCTAAGCACGAACAGCGTCGCTTCTCGACTGGTGACCAGCCTGAAGTCTACGAGACGGGCGGCGGCGGCTTCTTCTCCTGCAGGAGCAGCGACACTCGGGATGCCGTGATGTCAGTCAGGGGGAACGGCAGCCCAGCAGCCGCGACGCCGTCCAACATGGAAGAAGATGTGATTCTCCAGCAGCTCCGCAGCCAGTCTTCGCTCAAGCGCAGCGAAGCACTTAGGGCCCTCCGTGCCAACGTCAGACAAAATGCAGGGAAGTTAATGTTTGGCAACAAGGAAGCTCTATTCTCAATTTTGAACGAAGTGCTCCTGGACGGCAGAAGGGAAGTCAAAGTCTCGTGTATTCAGCTCATATCTGAAATTATCCAAGGATCCGATTCAGATCTGGATTACTGTAGGACCACCGTGTTGCCCAAACTTATATGCAGTCTGCGGGACGACAACCCAACTGTGCGCAAAGAACTCGTGCAAACTTTGCATGTCTATTTAAAATGCTCTGTCATCTCGAAGGAAGTTTTTTGGGCTTTGATAGAACATGGGCTGGAAAATCACGATCCTGTTGTTAGGAAGGCAACGACTATAATTTTACCCATTTTGCTCACTAAGGAATTGAACAATGACAGTCTATTCGACGTGACCCTTTGTTTAGCTAAAAAGCTAAATGGCGACAGCATGGATGATGCGTTCTCGGCATTCGCAACCATGGGGTATATAAAACACCACATCGGAGAAGAAGAATTTAACTCGTACTTGAAACGTTTGCCACTGTCTCTTAGAAGAGAGTATAACAAACTAATGGAAATAAAGTTTGAGCCACAAGCTAAGCTAAATGGGGGTAACGTTCCTCGGGTGGAACAAAATAGAACCTTTAAGACAAATTCGGGATTTCTTAGCAGGTCCATCGGCAGTGTTGAAGATGTCTCCCAATTTTCTGGGCCAATTTCCAAGGATCATAACCTGGAATTTCGAATAATTCCCCAGGAATTATATGTCCGACTTCTAGACCGAGAAGATTACAAAAGTAGAGCGCATGCTGTTGAAGAACTGAAGAATGTTGTCGATTATTTTAATTTTATGACTGTGCCTACTACATCCGTTTTAGGTTTTATTGGCTTTTTATGCACTTTGCTTGATGATTCAAATTTTAAAGTTGTTCATGGTACATTGGAAATCATCAACTTGCTGATAGTTAAACTAAATCATAGTGTGGTAAATTATCTCAAACCTATTACATCTGCAACAATAAAAGTACTAGGTGACAATAAGGTTGTCACGAAACAGGAGTATATGAAAGTCTTTATGGGTTTGATGAAGCAAGTTGGTCCTCAAAAAGTGCTCGATATGCTGCTTGATAACATAAAGCACAAAAACTCTAGAGTAAGGGAAGAAATATTAAATATTATAATTGCTTCGCTTTTGACTTATCCAAGTGAAGACTTTAATTTGCCCAGTCTTTGTCATATTGTTGCACCAGCATTGACTGACTCTAAGAGAAAGATCCGCCATGCAGCTTTAGAGGCTTTTGCCATGTTAGCTTCATCCCTTGGTTCTAACAAAGCATTTTTGGTTAAGGCAGTGGATACAGTGGAGTTACAGGAAGATGGAGATGGTGTGATGGCTGCTGTGCAAGCCAGACTAGCAAGAAGGACCTTGCCAAAATTAACTCCACAAGGACTCGTGGAATATGCAATACCTATGCCTTCTTCTGCTCATGGTAGAGGGATGCAGATGCCATTAGGAGCAGATACTGAGTGGCTACTAGCTAGTGGAAGAACCCAGAGTGCACACAGTTATCATGGTGATAATGAAGCTCATCCTTTGTGCTATGGATCATCAAGCCCTAATACCGAAGAATATACCTCATTCAGAAGAGTATTAAGTGCTGGTCGAGGGAAGAACAAATTACCGTGGGAGCACGCAAGCTCAGTTACCAGGGGTTCTGGTCAAACTAGGTTTTCAAATACTGCTCCTGCAGAACAGGTAAGATTTGGAACATAAAATTCAATTAGCAGTAAAGGAGCTGCTGCTAATATGAGAGTTGAATTATGTAGTTTTGATTTTATGTTGCATTAATAATATCTCGACATTAATAAAGTGTTTTTGATCTCTCAAAGTAGTTCAAGTGGACTCAATTTATTAGTCTGAAATTTTGCAATGCTTGAAAAGTGATGATTTTGGGAGGGTATGATTGAAATCCTTAAGTCCTCCTGAATCATGGATATGCTGTGGTTGGCATCTGCGAACACTATTGTCAGAGGTTGGATGTAAGTAGTGTGCAGATGCGCTCTGGTTTGTCGTCATCTCATCATGGCAGAAATAAGTGGATGTAGGTTCTACTTTGAAATGACTGCTTGGTGCTGTAACCTGTTCCCTTACTGTGCTGATCAAGCACTGCAAGTTTGTACTCATTGGAGTTTAGAAGAATGAGAGGTGACCTTACTGAAACATACAAGATTCTTTGGGGGCATGACAGAGTAGATGTAGAAAGCTTGTTTTCTCCTTGTGGAGAAAGGACATATTTTCAGAGTAAAGGATCGCCCTTTTGAGACAGATGTGAAGTTTTTCTGAGGCTTGTGAATTTGTGGAATTCTTTACCATAGAGGGCTTTGAGGTGGGGTCATGAAGAATATTCGAGACTGATGTTATCAGACTTTTTAATAGAGTTAGGCAGGAAAGTGGAATTCTGACTTATTAGATCAGCCATGATCTAGTTGAGTGGTAGAACAGACTCAATGAGCTGAATCAGAGATAGTAAGAACTGCCGATGCTGGAGTCAGAGATAACAAGTTGTGGAGCTGGAGGAGCACAGCAGGCCAGGCAGCATCAGAGGAGCAGGAAGGTTGATATTTCAGGTCAGGACCCTTCTTCAGAGAAAAAAAAAGTTATCAATGAGCTGAATGTCCTGTTCTGCTCCTACATGTCACGGTTAATTACCTCATAATTTGGCCAATCCTAGACTTGAACTAATACAATTATAACTGATTTTAACTTGTCAATAGTTTTTGCTTATGGCAATCAATATATTTAACATAGTTGAAAATGTCTTGTAAGATTTGTAATGAAAACTTCCAGCTGCTAAACAGCTTCAGTACAGCAATTTTTAAATACCTTTTCAATTCCTGTGTGCAATCTTGGACAGGCCTCCTGGCCAATTTAGCTCAGCATCAGGTAATTGTCATCTTTTGAGCTTGCAAAGTTCTGCTTCTGCTTGTAGCTATACCCACTAGGAGATTTGCTGACATGATATATCGTGCTCATCTGCCCTGCTCCATCCTTGCACATCCACTGTAGCTCATCTGTAATCACTCTATCCATAATTCAGCCACACCCAGGTTGACCCTTCCTTCTTTCTGCTGCCCTCCAGTTTGTCTTCCAGAAGACATCTCTGTAGCTTTTCAGCTCTGATCAAGAGACCAAAATGTTGTTGTTTTCTTTTCAGTTGTCACTTTTTTCGTTCTTTATCGCTTGCAATTTCAAGTACCTCAGTTTTATTTTTCTATTCTAGCCAAGGCATCTAATGTAAAAACAAAAATTAGTGATAAAACCCAAACTTCTGTTTTACATTAATGATATATGGTGAAATGATTCTACCTTGTATATAACTTTATAAACAAAAGAAAGTAAATGTATTTGAGTAATTATTTATTTTTTAAAATTTGCATATACTTGTAGGGACTTATTGTTTCTCTCTCAAAAGATGCTTGTGACCCTTACGAAAAGCTCCTGGTCAAGTTTGTAAATAATTCAGAATAAACATAGTGAGTGTTTCCGTTGGGTATGAAGTAAAAGGGCATCTTCAAGAACGACCAGGTTCATAGAAAACCATTGTTTTTCCTGTTGATTTTAGCACTTGCAATTGGATGTTGGTGATGTCTCACCACTTTTTAAGAACAAGAGAAACTGCTAGTTATCAATCCACCTGGATTATAGGTTTTTGTAGATAAATAAAATGTTTATTTGTGCTGAATCATGTTTATATTTTCATAAGTTTTTGGATAGTTTTCTTACATCTGACAGATGTTATTTCATTGGTTCAAATCTAAATAAATCTGTCTTGATTGTCTGTCTTTACCCAGTTGTCTGAAGGACCCAGGTGATCTGGCTCAGTGCATTAGCAGTTGAACAATCTAGAATGGGACTCTGTTCCTCTGTGGCAGGTGGGGATTAATAGACTCGACTGTCAGATATCCATGTAAACACACTTGTTCAATGCCAAAATATGTCTTGACATGATCTATGGCTGAAAGACCTCCTGATGCCACACAGCGTCACAAGTTGGTGTCTACAAAAGGGGATTTGAGAAAATTGGGAGCATATAAATAGTCATACAGCATGGAAACAGACCCTTTGGTCCAAACAATCGATGCCGAACATGACCCCAAACTAAACTAGTTCTCCCTCCTAGAATCCCTACGGTGTGGAAGCAGGCCATTCAACCTGTCAAGTCCACACCGACCCTCCAAAGATCATCCCACCCAGACCCCCACTATCCCTGTTAGCTCGCATATTCCATGACCGACTCACTTAGCCTGCACATCGCTGGATAATATGGGCAATTTAGCATGGCCAATCCACCTTTACAGTGCATATCCTTGGACTGTGAGAG